CTGCTCCACCTCCAGGGTTCAAGCAATTCTCCTGCCTCAGCCTCCCGAGTAGCTGGGACTACAGATGTGCACCACCATGCCCAGCTAATGTTTGTATTTTTAGTACAGATGGGGTTTCACCATGTTGGCCAGGATGATCTCGATCTCTTGACATCATGATCCACCCACCTCGGCCTCCCAAAGTGTTGGGATTATAGGCGTGAGTCACCGCACCTGGCGGGAAGTCTTAATCCTGCAGTCTCTGTGCCTCCCCTGTGCCTCAGTTTCCTTATGTGTAAAAGCAGAATAATGCCTTCCTCATAGTCTGCTGTGAAGATGCAAAAAGTTTCTCGACATATAGCAGTCATTCAACCAATATTGGTTATTATTAATTTTCACAGTTACCCAGAGAGGTGGGGCCTATAATCATTCCCATTTTACGGACAAAGGAGCTTTCACACAGCCAGAAAGGAGCCGAGCTAGAACTCAAGCTCTTCTGTCTATGGAGAACAGGCTCTCTCCACCACTAGATGAGAGATGGCAAAGATTATTGGTTACATGCACAAACGTTACAGCCAAATGGGTGAGTCAAACTTCCAGCTCAGCCACAGACTGGCTGTGTGGACAGAAGCGAGCTGCTCCACCTCTCGGTACCTTGGTTTGCTCACCTGCAAAATGGATGTCTCTGGCCAGGCACAGTGACTCACGCCTGTAATTCCAGCACTTTAGGAAGCCAAGGTTGGAAGACTGCTTGGGCCCACGAGCTCAAGACTAGCCTGAGCAATGGGGCAAAACCTCAACTCTACAAAAAATTAGCTGTGCATGCTGGGCTCGGTGGTTCATGCCTATAATCCCAGCACTTTGGGAGACTGAGGCAGGAGGATCACGAGGTCAGGAGTTTGAGACCATACTGGCCAACATGGTGAAACCCTGTCTCTACTAAAGATATAAAAAATTAGCTGGGCATGGTGGCCGGTGCCTGTAGTCCCAGTTACTAGGGAGGCTGAGGCAGGAGAATCGCTTGAACCCGGGAGGCAGAGATTGCAGTGAGCCGAGATCACACCACTGCACTCCAGCCTGGGTGACAGAGTGAGACTCCATCTCAAAAAAAAAAAAAAAATTAGCTGAGCGTGGTGGCACCATACCTGTGGTCCCAGCTACCCAGGAGGCTGAGACGGGGGATCACCTCTGCCTGGCAAAGGAAGGTGAGGCTGCAGTGAGCTGAGATCACGCCACTGCACTCTAGCCTGGGTGACAGAGTGAGACCCTGTCTCAGAAAAATCAGGGTGTCCTTGCTCATTCTGGGCTCTGACTCTGTGTCCCTGGAGGTCCAGCAGCTCTGTGCCTCTCTAAAGGTCTGAGGGGGCAGCAAGCAGATCTAGGCCAATGATGGAGGTACCAGCAACCCTCTCTTCTCCCTTCCTTCCAGAGATAACCCCTCACCCCTCACCTCAGAAGCAGCTGTCCTGGGGAATTTCACCCTGGCAGGAGAACTGGTCAGGCCACTGAGCGCAAATAGTTTCAGAGAGGTGGGGCTCTCGAGGCCCCTTCCGGGAGATGACACAGGTGTCATGGCCTTTGAAGGGTACAAAAGGCCATGCCACATTAGTTACCCTGCTGGCTCACAGGGCTGTTGGCCTGGCCCTCTGCTCTGCACACACAGGGCCCTCGCTCTCGAAGGGAAAGAACGGTCAGGAAGGAGAAAGAGATGGAAGGAATCTCCTTACAGGCCAAGGGGCTTTGAGGTCGTCTCACTGGTAGAAGTCTCTCTAATGGGACGGGTTGGGAGTATGCCCCAGAGGTGGCAGCCTGCACATTCTGACCAGAGCCTGGACAAGACAGAAGAGCACCTTTTTTTTTTTTTTTGTGATGGAGTCTTGCTCTGTTGCCCAGGCTGGAGTGCAATGGCGCAACCTCGGCTCACTGCAACCTCCGCCTCCCAGGTTCAAGCTATTCTCCTGTCTCAGCCTCCTGAGTAGCCGGGATTACAGGTGCATGCCACCATGCCCGTATGATTTTTGTATTTTTAGTAGAGATGGGGTTTCATCATGGTGGTCAGGCTGGTCTCGAACTCCTGACCTCCAGTGATCCACCTGCCCCAGCCTCCCAAAGTGCTGGGATTGCACATGTGAGCCATGGTGCCCAGCCCAGAAGAGCACATTTTATGGGGGCTTTGCTGGGTTAACAGCTGTTCTTGGCTGGGCCCGGTGGCTCACGCCTGTAATCCCATCACTTTGGGGGGCCAAGGTGGGCGGATCATGAAGTCAAGAGTTCGAGACCAATCTGGCCAACATAGTGAAACCCTGTCTCCACTAAAAATACAAAAAATTAGCCGGTTGTGGTGGCAGGCGCTTGTAGTCCCAACTACTTGGGAGGCTGAGACAGGAGAATCGCTTGAACCCCGGAGGCAGAGGTTGTAGTGAGCAGAGATTGCTACTGCACTCCAGCCTGAGAAACAGAGTGAAATTCTGTCTCAAAAAAAAAAAAAAAAAAAAAGCTGTTCTCTGGGCCCTCGTATGTACACAGATGGGGATGGTTTGGGAGCAGAGGCCCCTTGACAGTCAGCACCTGAAGAACCGGGCTATGCTCTTCACTCAATCCAGCCGCCCCTGAGGCGACACACTGGGCAACAGCCCCACCTGGTGGACGATCGGGGAACTACCATGGGCCGGGGAGTATGGGTGAGCAAAGGATGACAGAAGAGGGAAGCAGAATAATCACAGCAGGAGTTTAAAGGCGAAGGAGCTTTGAGGTAGGCTTGCTGGCAGAAGCCCCTCTTACAGCATCAGCCCTAAGGCCCCATCTGTTAGAAAGGTCTTACGTTTTTTGAAAATCTGCCTCCACCAGTCCCCCTCCCCTCTACTTCAAGGTTGCCAAAGGTTGCCAGGGCAACCTTTAAAATATTAGCGTACAGCTGCAGCGTCCCTCCTAAATCTTCCCCTTTGCTGCAACCTTCCAGAGTGTGACCTCAGCCTCCCACCTCCTGCATCTTTTTTTCACCTGGCGATCTGTTTTTTTTTTTTTTTTTCAGACGGAACCTTGCTCTGTTGCCCAGGGTGGAGTGCAAGGGCACGATCTCTGCTCACTGCAACCTCTGCCTCCTGGGTTCGAGCTATTCTCCTGTCTCAGCCTCCCGAGTAGCTGGGACTACAGGTGCCTGCCACCATGCCCGGTTAATTTTTGTATTTTTAGTAGAGATGGGGGTTTCACCAGGCTAGCCAGGCTGGTCTCGAACTCCTGACCTCCAGTGATCCAACCGCCTCAGTCTCCCAAAGTGCTGGGATTACAGGCATGAGCCACCGCGCCCAGCCCAGAAAAGCACATTTTATGGGGGCTTTGCTGGGTCAAAAGCTGTTTCCTGGGCCCTGGTGTGTAAACAGATGGGGATGGGTTGGGAGCAGAGGCCCCTTGAAACCAGACAGCGCCTGAAGAACCAGGCAAGTCTTCACCCAATCCAGCAGCCCCTGGGGCGACACACTGGGCAACAGCTCCACCTGGTGGACGACTGGGAAACTATCATGGGCCGGGGAGAAAGGGCGAGCAAAGGATGACAGAAGAGGGAAGTGCGGGGAGTCACAGCAGGGGTTACAGGCGAAGGGGATTTGAGGTCTTCTCGCTGGCAGAAGCCCCTATTACAGCATCAGCTCTAGGCCCCATTTGTTAGAAAGGTATTACGTTTTTGAAAATCTGCCTCCACCAGTTCCCCTACCCACTACTTGAAGGCTTGCCAGGGCTACCTTTAAAATAATACAGCTGCAGCACTCCTCCTAAATCTTCCCCTTGCTGTAACCTTCCAGAGTGTGACCTTGACCTCTCATCTCCTGCATCTTTTTTTCACTTGGCTATCCTTTCTTTTTCTTTCCGTGTTTTGTTTTGTTTTGTTTTGTTTGTTTTGTTTTTTTAAGACGGAGTCTCTCTCTGTCGCCAAGCTGGAGTTCAGTGGCGCGATCTCGGCTCATTGCAACCTCCGCCGCCCAGGTTCAAGAGACTCTCCTGCCTCAGCCTCCCAAGGAGCTGGGATTACAGGCGTGCGCCACCATGCCTAGCTAGTTTTTGTATTTTTAGTAGAGATGGAGTTTCACCATGTTGGCCAGGCTGGTCTCGATTTCTTGACCTCGTGATCTGCCCACCTTGGCCTCCCAAAGTGCTGGGATTACAGGCGTGAGCCACCGCACCCAGCCTGGTTATCCTTTCTTTTTTATTCTGTTATTATTATTTTGTAGAGACGGGGCTTCTCCATGTTGGTCAGGCTGGTCTCGAATGGCTATCCTTTCTTAAACATATTAACTTCCAAGGAATCCCTTCCAGTTCTATCCCCCTCCCATACTAGCAGCAGTATTTTAAAAATACCTTTAGATCAGCCGGGCATGGTGGCTCACACCTGTAATCCCAGCACTTTGGGAGGCAGAGGAGGGTAAATCACCTGAGGTCAGGAGTTCGAGACCAGCATGACCAACATGGAGAAACCCCATCTCTTAAAAAAAAAGAAAGAAAAAAAAATTATAAAAAAAAGAAAAAAAAATACCTTTAGATCTCAGCCTCCCTGTTGCTCAGTGTTTGATATGTTAGGGAAGTCAATGGTCAGGCTGAGTTAATTCATGAGTAAAGAGCCTAGACTATGAAATTAGACAGATCCTTGTTCAACTCCGGGCTCTGACACTTACTAGCTAAATTACTTTGAGCAAGTTTGCCTTCCTGAGCCTCAGTTTCCTATGTGCAAATTGGAGATAGAGGTGCTTACTACCTGGAGTTGCGGTGCATAAATATTAAATGAGACAGTGCAGGTAAAACTCTTAGGGACAGCTCCTGCAACACCGTTCAGCTCCTAAGTGGCCATTACAGCAACATTCCTCTGAGTTTAAAGATTGTAGGGAATGCTTTAGGAAACAGAAAAGTGAAGGGGCCAAAGAAGGTGAGAGAGGGGCTTTCTGGAATTAGCCTTTCTCAACCAGCACAAATCCCAGGTGAAATCCAACAGATGGGTAACTTGTTCCAATCCCATTTCTTTCTTCTTCTTCTTCTTTTTTTTTAACATAAACTCAAGATTTTATTGTCTTCCTAAAAGAAAAGAAGACGCTTAGAACTGGATCACTTGGCCCTTTCTCTTCTTATCTCCTCCCAGTTCAAAATGCTTGCATCTCTTAATGGCCGGCATTCTCTTAGATCTGCAGTTTGGCTCACGGCACTCAAGCCTTAGCACAATCTTCTTTGTAGTTTCAGTCTTCTTCCAGAAAATCGGCTTAGTCTGCCCACCATAGCCACTCTGCTTCCTGTCATAACGCCGCTTTCCCTGGGCATACAGAGAATCCTTGCCCTTCTTGTACGGTGTCACTTTGTGGGGCTGGTGCTTGCCACACTTCTTACAGGAAGTTCGGCAGGTTTTAGGAATGTTCACCATGTTTGTGTGAGTGCTATCGGCATGGAAAGAAAAAGCTCTTTTTTTCTTTTGAGACGGAGTCTTGCTCAGTCACCCAGGCTGGAGTACAGTGGCACGATCTTAGCTCACTGCAATCTCTGCCTGCCGGGTTCAAGCAATTCTCCTGCCTCAACCTTTCAAGTAGCTGGGATTACAGGTGTGTGCTACACCTGGCTAATTTTTATATTTTTAGTAGAGATGGGCTTTCACCATGTTGGTCAGGCTGGTCTTGAACTCCTGACCTCGTGATCTGTCCGCCTTGGCCTCCCAAAGTGTGGGGATTACAGGCGTGACTCACCCTCCTATCCCATTTCTAGTGGTGTCTGTTGTCATCCCTAGAAAGGGGCAGGCCTTGACACCTCTCTGAAACTTGAGGATTTAAAATTTAAATGTCTTTGAGGGCAAGATAAACACACCTACTGCTCAGCAGGGTAAGGGAAACTTGGCAGGCGCCCCAAAACTTTCCCCACCCCCAACCCTCCCCAAACTTCCTCTTGTGGTTTTTCAAGAGTACAACCTGTTCTCAGCCTAGCCAGTAGCTGGGGCAGGGGGCCAGGGTGTGCTGAGGGCTCTGCTGCACTCCACCCTACCAGCGAGTGAGGGAGGAAGGTGCGTGGGAGAGGAGCAGCCTGGAGGTTTACAGTTCTGAAGGTTCACATCCTGCTTACCTGTTTTCTCAGCGCGGCCACCCTCTACCCAGTTTCCACCCTTGACTTCCAGCATCAGTACCCATGCCCCCAGCACACACCCCTTTCTCAAAGACAGATGCATGAAGGGCTTTGACTGCAGGCAGAGAGGGATCGCCTCAAGGTCTCCCCAGACCTGTGGGGAGGGCCCCGGTAAGAAATTTAAAAGCGTTTCAGGAAGGAGGGGGAAAAGGGGCTGGCTGGCATGTATGGAAACTGTCCTGTGCCCTCACTTGCATCACCAGCATTATCCAGCCTGTCTGGAGGGATGGGGCAGTATACACGGATGCAGCTTCGGAAGCAGGAGCTGTGGGAAAGAGAGGTGGGAGGATCTTAAGCTCGCACTCACTCCTTGGCCATCTTCCTTACTCAGCCGCCAAGCTGGAATGCACATCTAGAATGTGAGCATCTCTGCTCTTCTTAATTCCCAACAAAAGAGGTGTCTTGGTTTCCCATATCCACAGATTCTGCCACATCGCATCCATGTTGAGAAGTTCTTTCTTGAATATAATCTTAGTTCATTCCTCCTGGTTTATTCACATTCCCCCTTTCCCTCTGAGTGACGCTTACACAGGGGAAAATATGCACACACACACACACACACACACACACACACACACACAGCCATCAGGGAGGGATACCAGCTCTGTGCAGTTCCCACAACCCTATTCCAGGCCTGCTGGGCTCATTGCAAACAGTACCAGCATCAAAGCTGAGCTAACAGATGGCTGTATCATCCAAGATAAAGGACCACAGACTCCCTTTAGGAAACGCCTACGTTCCTGGCTCAAGTGCACCTTGTATGTGATCAGTCGATGAGGCAGGCTAGCCTAATGGTTAAGAATAAAGCCTCCCTCCCTGTCAGGCTGGGCGGCTCACTCCTGTAATCCCAGCACTTTGGGAGGCCGAGGCGGGGAGCGGGGGGGGGGGAGGATCACCTCATGTCAAGAGTTCGAGACCAGCCTGGCCAACATGGTAAAACCCTGCCTCTACTGAAAATACAAAAATTAGCTGGGTGTGGTAGTGAGCACCTGTAGTCCCAGCTACTTGGGAGGCTGAGGTAGGAGAATCACTTGAACCCGGGAGGAGGAGGTTCAAGTGATTCTCCTACCTCAGGAGGTTCAAGGTTCCTCCCGAGAGGAGCGATCTCACTCACTGCAACCTCCGCCTCCTGGATTAAAGCCATTCTTCTTCCTCAGTCTCCCAAGTAGCTGGGATTACAGGCAACTGCCATCACGCCCAGCTATTTGTTTTTTGTATTTTTAGTAGAGATGGGGTTTTACCATGTTGGCCAGGCATTGGCCAGGCTGGTCTTGAACTCCTAACCTCAGGTGATCCACCCGCCTTGGCTTCCCAGAGTGCTGGGATTACAGGCGCGAGCCACCGTGCCCGGCCGATTTCTTGACTCTTACTACACGTCAGGCACTGTAACATGCCCTTTCTGTGTATCATCTCATCTTTCCCCCAGTTTTACAGAAGAGGAAACTGAGGCACACTGAGGATTAGGTCAAGTGCCCAAAGTCCCACAGCTGCCTAGTGTTAGGATCGAAGCCCAGCATCTGAATCCTGACAGGTACCTTAAATGGGGACGAATACGGTGCAGCCAGAGTGGCTCACAAGTGAGGGAGAAAACCACTGGCAGCCATGGGCACCCCACGCCCTGAGAGTGATTTGGCAGGGCATAGACTAGGACTGGCATAGACTAGGACTCTGCTGGAATTATCAGAGACGCTTTCCATTTTAAGTTCCAGGGGGAAGAAACTCTGATTTGTTTACCATGACATCCCCAACAGCTGTGGGAATAGCCTGTGCAGACGGAGCATGGCCACAGCAAATAGGTGCTGAATGAATTCACAAGTCAGTGTGTCAGTCATTTCCCAAAGGAGCCCCGGAATTGAACGGACGGGAGAATCTGTGAGGAAGGAATGGGAGATCCACTTCTCCAACCATGTCTGGTCCCAAAGAGAAATGAGGTGGTGGGCAGAGGGCAAGGACTTGTCAGAGGAAATAGTCTCAGAGTCTAGGGATGGGGAGGAGGTACCCAGGATTGTGTGGACTGTCACGTCACCCCCAGGCAGACCCAGAAGGGAATTCCTGGGTTCTTGGGACCTAGCCCAGAAAATTGTCTTTTCTGGAATTCATCCTGTTCATTCCCTTCATGCTTATACAGTGGATTAAAGAGAGCAGGAATTGTTTCTGGGTCGCCACTTTAACCAAATGTCAAACACCACAGCTTGGGTTCAGTCCAGCTCTGTGGAATAAGTGCCCCCAAAGACTTCCATGCTTTTCGTCCTTCTGAATCCAACTCAAATGTCCTTTTCTCTCTAAAGCCTCCCCAGCCACCCCTGCCAGTGTACTTGGCACTTATGTCTGTTGTTCTGTGATCCACATTAGCTGTGGATCAATAACCTCATTGCATCCTCAGCATCCCATATAATGCCAGGCACATAGTAGGTGTTCAATCAACACAAATTAGTAGCTTAAGGCTCCCTTAGTCACAGCAACCAGTTTCTTCAGTTATTCCAATTGTTGACACTTCAAGAAACAGAGGAGGCTAAGACCACCACCTATGTACCAATCAGACACCACTGCCGGGGGGGGGGTGTACTTCCCTCCAGTCTCATCCCGGTGCACTGGCCAGAGCACCCACAGACTCCCCCTTCCACATTGGTCTGCCCTCCTACTGGCGTCCCACCCTATCTTCGAGGTATGAGAAGAGCAACAGCCGGTTAAAGCCACGGGGCTTCCAGGTCAGCTGGAGGGGGCTGTGCGGCCTTTGGGGGTTTCCCTGCCTTCCAACTCCGTGCAGAACACCTCACTCTGTGGGAAAGTGAGCCAAACTTTGGAGGGGATGAGGACGCGGCGAACCCATAACCCAGCCAGCTCCGATGCCCAACGCGTGGTCTCCAGCCAGAGCTGACATACCATCTACCCCGGTTTCTCCAGCCCCCAAGCCTACCTCCTCGGCAGGTGAGCTCTCCGAAGCACCGATAGGGGCCGCAGACGCTCTCTCCTGCCGCCTCCGACGCCTGCCTTTGGGGAGTGGGGTTGTCACAACCATCCGCCGCGAGGAGGGGATTGCATCTCCCCCACAGGCGTCCGAACAGAGCCTGTCTCCACTCCTGCAGGGGCGACTGGTTTACGCGAAGTCCGCGCCTTGCCGCCGATCCCGAGCTGGGCAGGAAGTGGGGAAGAGGGGGCGGAGGACACAAAGGGGCTGGTGCTCAGCTCAGCCAAGGTTCAGTCCCCGGCCCGCCCCACCCCCCGCCGCCAGGAGGCTCATCAGGCGCCGCGCACCCCGGCCCCCAGCCCCCGCCCCACGCGGCCTAGGTAAGGGGGCGGGGCGCCACGGAGGCTCAGGTGTGGGTGGTGGGACCAGCTCGGCGCGGGTTCTCAGACGGCTACCTCCCAGCGTTCGGGACTCCTTGTAATGACCAAGAAGTAAACAACATCCTGATGCGCAATTTCTTTTTCTTTTTTCTTTTCTTTTTTTTTTTTTT